TTTACCTCTATTATTGAATATATGTAGCACCTGTAATCTATGACCACTATAAAAACATTGTTGAAAAATTCCACCTCTTTATAAAACATTGTATATATAACATTGTAATTTTGGACTGTCCTGCAGTGGGAATCTGTTGCCTTACAATACACTGAATTCTCTGTCCCTGGAAATGTTTACATAGGATTTGTATGACCATCTGCCAGAGAGGAATAAGCCTGAAAATGAGATAATGACCTTTTCTACCTCATGGAGAGTTATGATGCTCGGTAACAGGATGCTGTAATTAATAATGTAAAGTCTGTGCAGTGCATGTGCCGCAAGGAAAAATCTCATCAAGCATCAAAACTTGCCTCGTGTTCTTAACAAATCAAACATTGCAGGTAAAAACCTGTACAGGAACTTCGTAGTGACAGACTGCATGAGGTGTGATGAGCAGCTGTCCAAATAGTGTAGGTGTTCCTCACAGTGATTCCATGTCAGTTGTCACAGATGACTGAGGATGACTGGAGCTCCAGAGACTTCAGAGAAACTTGAAATGGAGATGTTAAAACATGGCAGGCTTTGATAGTACACTGCAAGTCAAATCCTGGTGTCGGATTTGGACCAAATAATGATGAAAAGTGGAGTTAATGTGTACAATTGCATGTTTATCTAAGGGTCACTGAGAAATTTTCTAATTTCCAGATATTTGCTTTATAGCTTTCTCTGTTTGTGGCACTACTGAGCCATTCTTAAAAGTCAGCTTTGAGAAAATTTTTGATCTTGATGGAAAGTGAGGGTTAGAACCAGCCTATGTGGTAGATTTCTACAAGGCCAACACCCACAGCAGGGAGTTTCTCAACTCAGATCATAAGTTAGGGAATAAAGGGTGCCATGTTTTGTGCCAAGAGAAAAGTAAGACCCTACCCAGAAGTGAACCTACACACATATAGCCACCTAATCTTAGATAAGGGAGTCAAAAAATATGACGGAAGAAAGACAGCCTCTTCAGTAAATGGTTCTGGCAAAGTTGGTAAAACACCAGAGGAAGACTAAAATAGTTACATCCTTATATATCACCTTGCACCAGAACCAACTACAAATGGATCAAAGACCTCAAAGTAAAAACAGACACCCTGAAAACATTATAGGAAGGAATAGGAGAAACTTTAGGGCTCCTTGGCACAGGCCGAAATTTTCTTAATATTAAACACAACAAATCAAAGAAAGGTTGGACAAATGCAATTGCATGAAACTGCAGAGCTTCTGCATGGCAAAGAATATAGCTAGCAAGATAGATAGAATGCCTAGGGATTGGGAGAAGATCTTCACTAGGCATACAACAAACAAGGGCCACATATCTAAAATATATTTAAAACTCAAAAAATTAAATTGCCCCCAAACAAATCTTCAAAGAAAGATGGGTTAAAGACTTAAAGAGAGACTTTCCTGAGGAGGAAATAAGAATGGCAAATAGACACATGAAGAAATGCTCAACTTCTCTAGCTGTAAAATAAATGCAAATCAAAATAACAGTGAGATTCCACCTCATCCCAGCTAGAATGACTATAATTAAGAAATCTAATAACAACAGATGCTGGTGGGGATGTGGCCAAAAGGGAACCCTACTGCATTGTTGGTGGGAGTGTAAACTTGTTCAATTACTCTGGAAAGAAATATGGAGGTTCCTCAAAAGGCTACACATAGAGCTCCCCTTTGACCCAGCAATAACACTTCTGGGCATTTTCCCAAACGATCACAAACAAGGCCATCCTAAAGCTATAAGCACTCCTATGTTTATTGCAGCATTATTTACCATAGCTAAGATATGGAACCAACCCAGATGCCCCTAAGTAGATGAATGGATCAAGAAAATGTGGTATATTTACAATGGAATTCTATGCCCCATATGACATTGCCCCATTTGTTATGAAATGGAAATACTTGGAAAAAATTATATTAAGTAAAGTGAGCCATACTCAAAGAAACATAGCTCCCATGGTTTTCCTTATTTGCAATAGCTAATACACATCTAGGATAATCTTACCAGACAAGCAGAAAAGGTCAAAAGCTTATGTACATATGACCATATAAGATGATGTGAAGTGAAATGAGCCCCAAGATAGGGACACGAGAGGTTTTATCTTTGTTGCTGCTGTTTTTAACGAACTATGTGATTTTTTGTTTCTTTTGTATGTTCTTCCCCCTATGGTATAACCCTTGTTGTCACTGTATTTTATTCTGGTTCCCTGCATCTTGTATATACATTTTTCTAATTTGGGGAGGGTAAGGGAAATAACAAAATGCTGAAACAAAGATACAGATGACCCATAGTAACAATGAGATGTACAAGACACTATGTTGAAAATAAACTTTACAACTTCAGGGTTGGGGGAGGGAGGTGCTGAGGAGGTGGGATAGGAAGGGATGGTAGGGATAAAACAAGGGAGGGGTAACATGCTTGATAGGAAATGTATTCATTACCTTACTCATATAACTATAACTCCTCTGTGCAGTATATTTACAATAAAAGATTAAAATAAAACAAATTAGGCATTCATTCTGCTATTGATGTCATGTTGAAAAATAGGTTATTAAACATTCAAATCAGAAATGAAGAAGGAATAGCATGCTGGCTCCTGCATGTATTCCCAGCTACACAGGCAACATTAAGAGGAGGATTGTAATCTGATTCCAGTACAGTCAAAAAGTAAGAAATAGCTGAAAAATGACTGAAGCAAAAAAAAATTGCTGCAAGTATGTTTGAAGTGGTAGAACTGCTGTCTAGGATGTATGAGGCCTTGATTCAAATTCTAGTCCTTGAAAAAGGGAGAAATAAAAACCAACTTTTGTATTTTATTCTGATGGATTTTATATTCTATTCTGCCACTTATCTTTTCTGCATTTTTACAGAATTATTCTTTATAATTTCAATTTTTGACCAAGGATGGTCATGATAGTAATCCTAGCTGTACCAAAGGCATAGGTAGGAAATGGTTCTCCTGAGCGAGAACATGAGCTACTATCTGAAAAATATTTAAAGCTAAAGAAACATAAAGATAGTTGGGAATTTAGTTCAGTGGTAGATCACATTCCCAGAAAATGGAGGTTCTGACTTCAACCCCAAGTAGTGCAAATAAATGAACAAATAAATTCAACCTTTTTTTGTACAAAAATATTAAACTCACTTAGATCTTCCCATAGTACTTGATTATCTAGAAAGTTTAGTTGACACGGAATAGTTCGGTTAAGAAGTTCTGAAATCCAGACATGTATAGGCATTAGATGAGAGAATTCATAAATACTGTTAGTATGATCATTGAATAGAAAATTTTGAATATAAGGAGTAACTTTATAAACTGTACTTAAAATTTCAATATTACATTAGTCATTTAACCTATTTGTACTTAATATAACAAATGTCTAAAGCAGTAATATCTGCTTTTAAAAGGGCCAAGAAGTGAAATAGGATACATTTTTTTAAATAAAAGGAATATCTACATAGGGCCCATCTATAACTTTAAGCTTTTGGATTCATTGAGTTTCTTTTAGTTTGATCAACAAATTGAGCCAGTGATTTATGAACAGTGCCCACATTTACCAATAGAGATTTTCTACCAATGCAATATAAATACATTTTAAAGCAATTAGTCTGCTGAGTTGTACTATCATGAATGAGGTTTGAGGAGGTCTGTACAGAGACTGTTGCCCTTTTCAAGTAACTCACAAATGTGCTAATTATGCGTCAGATAGGAAAGTTGAGGCACTGTGACCTTCAAGCCAACAAAATACCTTTTCAAGTTAGCCATTTCCATGTACATTAATAAAGTGAACAATGCCCTTCCACAGCTAAATAATGTATGGCTGTTACTTTATTATGTATAAAAGCAAAACAAGGAGTTGTTCCACTATTGACATATTATTAAAAGGAATGCTATAAAAAGCAGACACTGTAAATCTATTCAAGTATCATTTTGTAGTACTCTTGAAGTGGTGACCTGAAGATCTCTTTATTGTACACTTGTGATACATGAAATGAATATGTGTTTTTTTCTGCAACTGAATGTATTTTGGAGTTGAGGAGTAAAAAGATATATGCATTGTATATAGAAAACAGCAGACATATTTGAAAAGTTATAAAAATTACTGTGGGAAAAGTGTCTGATGGCTATGATAGATAGTGAAAGATGTTCACGAGCAGGGAAAGGTTACCTCTTTACAGAAACCCTGATTGGCTATCAAGAGGAATGTTGACCATTATTAGAGCTCAAAGAAAGAGGAAAAACACCTCACATTCTTTGTTAGCCTGTCTTATGAACTTGTAAATATTGGCTTTTGGTAATAGACATTATGGTAATTATTTAAAAGAATGCCCATGTCACTGGAAGAGTATCTAAGTTTCAAAAGCCATAATATAAAAGAAACTTGGGTGTCACTGACGCTTGAATCAAATTCACTGCCAGAATGTCAGAGAGTGCTCATTAAGTTATAATAGAAAATCAAGACCAGGGGAGAAATATTTAATTATCTTGTATTTGTCCAGCTGGGGAGCATATTTGATGTTGAATAAAACATGAATAGGATATAGCTATGCTTAATGTAACTTAAGTATGCATAACAGACCTCTGGGAAATAATAAACCAATTACAAACTTAAAATAGACCACAATCATAGTAGATTCCAAGAACCTATTAGCATTCTATCCATAGATAAACTTCTTTATTCTAGTCCCTTAAGAGCTTCTCATTATGGATTCGATGGTACCAAGAGGCTTTCCTGACTCATTCCCTAGTATTTCCTTTCTAGCTTGCACAGTTCTCGAAGGCCTTTGTTGTTACTCATTTTAATAGATTTTTCAGAATTATTTCATAACAGACACCAGTGACATTTATAAAAATGCTGTTTGTCACTGAATTTTCAAGGAAGGTGTGCATGTTCTTACTTGTCCTGGATAACAAATGCTTCTGTATTTCCCTGATGAGCTAAAACAATTTCCATCATTTTCAATTGTATTTAAGGTGGCAAATCTTGCTTGTTCCATGTCAACAAATGAAGATGGAGTCAAAATTGTCAGAGTCGCAGCCAATCACTTGGAAACTCTATGTCCACAGGTATGCAAACTATTTTCCTGGCTCTTTTATGAAACAATGTATAATTCTTCAGGATTTTATACATATTGGAATATATTCAAGTATTTTAAACACAGAAGGTAGAATTTTGTTCCAAGATCATTTTTTTTCTCTCCTTGATCAATGAGCTGGCTTCTTTAGACCTGAGTTGATGCTGGAATTAAAGATCTTCCAGTCTGAAAATTTGTGAGAAAATTTGTAAGTCTGGAAATATATTGAAAATGGACACATTGAATCCTGATAAATAGGCTTATTTATTTACCTAGCTTACTAAATTCAAAGAAAAGAAGCAATGGAGAGGGGTATCTGTTTTATAAAATTTATATAAAACTTAGTCTGTATTATAAATGGAAGAATGTTAGATCATTAAATGGTCTTGTCAAAGTAGAGTCCATTATTTTATAGATGAGCAAATTGGCAACTAGATAAATTAAATTTTATTTGGGTAGATTTTTTAATTAGTAGTTGTTTAAAGGGATAAAACAAGATGCTGACCCAAAATTCAGTAACTGTATATATCTCCATCCAAGTTTTGTGTATGTGTGGTTGGGGGAATTCTGGGGTTGACTCAGAGCCTGGGTGCTGTCCCTGAGTTTTGCTGTTTAGGAGTATTGGCTTTGAACCATGATCCTTAGATCTCAGCCTCCTGAACAGCTAGCATTACAGGAGTGATCCACTGGTATCTGGAAATTTGTGCAAGCTTTTACTACTTGAAATAATAGAAATTATTTCTTGTGATGTTATGGGCTAGAGAGAAATGCTTTCTTATCAGTAATTCATGAGTTGCTTAAATTCTGAAGAGCAATCTATTTGAATAGAATGATTTTTTACTGACCGATAGCCCTGAATCAGAATCTACATAAAGGTAGTAAAAGGGCAGCTTTAAACACTCTTGACTCAGAAGAGGCGGAAAATAGTGTGGGTACTTCCTAATAAAGAGGAGAAATTGTAAAGTTCATTTTTCGACATAATGGGGTGGTGGTGGTGGTAGGGGGGTGTGGGGATTGGAGGGTGGGGAGGGGAAGGGATGGGAAGGGTAAACAAAGGAGGAGGCAACAATGCTTGATAAGAAATGTACTCACTATCTTCCCCATGTAATTGTAACCCCTCTGTATGGTATTTTCACAATAATAAAAAAGACTAGAAATTGTATCAGGATGTGAAATATAATAGTGATTAAGGACTTCAAGTCTTTGGATGTCTATTAATTTCTCTTTTTCTTCTAAAAGAATACCATGTGTTAAATTCTTGAATTGCTATGCTGACAGTTTCATTTCTAAGAACATCAAAAAATGAAGGACTTTGCTTTTTGAGCTTAATGTTGATTAAGAAAAAAAGAATTACCTAGAGGGTCCCAACTGGGAGCTCTCACTGATGTCAATTTTTAATAACATCTCACATGGACCACAATATGGCAATGAGGTTTCTAAAATAGCTTCAAGAGTTCTCATATCTACACCATGGCTAAAACTTGATGCTGTTTAGTTTTTGTGTGTGTGTGTCGGTCATAGGGCTTGAACTCTGGGCCTGTGCATTGTCCCTCAGCTCTTCAGCTCAAGGCTAACACTCTACCACTTGAGCCACAGTGTCACTTCTGGTTTTCAGGTGGTTTATTAGAGATAAGAGTCTTAAGGACTTTTCTACCCAAGTTGATTTTGAACCACTAAACTCAGATCTTATGCTCCTGAGTAGCTAGAATGACAGGCGTGAGCCACAGGTACCTGACTGATGCTGTGAACTTTTATAATATCTTTCCACCATGAAGGACATTACAGATATCTCACTGGTTTTGATTTGGTATTTTCTGATCATTAGGGAGAACTATTTCTCCCACAAAAGTTTCTCAACGATGTAATTGTCAATTATGTGACTTGCCTATATTGTTTGCCACTTTTCAACAGGGTTGAACAAAAGTCTGTGAGAGTATTATTCCTGTAGAATTTTCTGTAATCACAAAAGCTTGAAACATCCCAAATGTCTGTCAGCAGAGAATGTTCAATGCTACTTATGATAGTACGTCAACTCCCCTGAAATTTGCTCTGTTCACTTGTCTTTCTTGGAATTTTTCAATCCAAAAGATGCAAGGTTCTATGTTTTTGAGGGATGAAAGATATCCAAAATAAGTGATAAAAAGGGAAAACCTCAGATGAATACACACACACACACACACACACACACACACACACACACACACAATGCTTCGTGTGAAAACAAAAAAGAAAAAAGTCAAGTGATATGTGTATTCATGGGAAAACTTTCACAACATTCTCATGAGAGTTTTGATAGTTGTTGCTTCCAGGAAGGTGGATGGGAGAACAAAGAGCAAAAAACATTTTTGCATTTCATTTTACTGCTTTTAGGACTCTCAATCAGAAGTAGGTGTTTTATATATTATATTGCATATAATATATATTATATTTCTAAAAATAACCCAGTTTTTAAATCACTTTAAAATTTTTTTTATTATCTGTAAGTAGTTGTACAAAGTGGTTTTAATTCAGCATGTCAGTTCATGAGTACAGTACATCTTGACCATTGTTACTTCTTTCATCTTTTTCTCCTATATCTCCAAGTCCTACCCATCTCGGCAAAGTTAACTGAGTTCTATTTTCACATATGTAGATTGAATATGATGACTATATTTGCTCACTTTTTCTCTCTCCAGTCATTCCCTCCCCTTGACATTTTCTTGATGTATTTGTCCATTGATAGTCATCTAAGCTCTCTCCGTAACTTGGCTATGGTGAATAGTACAGCAATGAGCATGGGTATTATGTGTCTTTATTGTGTCTGAAATGGTAATCTTTTGGATAAATGCCTAAAAGTGATATCACTGGATCATATAGTAGTTTGTTCATTCTTTCTCTCTCCTTCTCTCCTTCCTTCCTTCCTTCCTTCCTTCCTTCCTTCCTTCCTTCCTTCCTTCCTTCCTTCCTTCCTTCCTTCCTTCCTTCCTTCCTTCTTTCCTCTTCTTCTTCTTCCTTCCTTATTTTTTGAGGAATCTTCAAACTGCCTTGTCCAATATTGGCACTAGTTTATATTTTACTTTTTTTTTTATTGTAGAGGTAATACAGAGAGGTTATAGTTATATAAGTTAGGTATTGAGTACATTTCTTTTTGAACAGTCAACCAACAATGTTTTTTTCTTTTCCTGCACATCCCCAACAACATAAGTTGTTTTTCCTGTTCTTCATAATGGCTACTATTACTGAGGTAAGATGAAATCACAAGGTGAGCGAGTCCGGTAAACCCTGGGTCAGGAGGAGTTGGGTAGACATCACTTACTTCCTATTGGTTAAGTACAATTCAGTTCATCCAGGTTGCAGTGTGTTTAGTCACTCTGGTTCTTACTGAGCCTGAAAGATTATAGCTATGATGTTTTGCCCAGTTACATATGGTATACTTAAAAAAAAACAAACAAACCCCAAACCTGTCACTTGAAGTGTATTTAGCAAGTGATATCTGAAAAGGTGACAAGACTTGAAACAATGTTGTATGAAAACCTCAAAAAAGCAGCAGAGAATTTTTAGCCAGGAAAAGGCAAGACTTGGAGAAACATGATTACTGCCATCAGATCTTTACAGGTGATGTTGAAAGACCAATTGTGAAGGGCCCTGAGGGACAAGGCAGAATCGTGAGCAGAATGATGAGAGAATCATGAAAGATACAAATTTTATCACAGTGTAGACAACATTTGTCTCAGATCTATCCTTCTTTTTTGTCTTTTGTAGCTTTTTAAAAAAATTTTATTTTTTTTATTGTGAAAATACTGTACAGAGGGGTTACAATTACATGGGCAAGATAATGAGTACATTTCTTATCAAGCATTGTAGACTCCTCCTTTGTTTACCCTTCCCATCCCTTCCCATCCTTTCCCATCCTCCCTCTCCCCCCCAGTTGTAAAGTTCATTTTCGACATGAAAACTTGTACTTCTCATTGCTGCAACAGGTCTACCTATATCCTTATTTAAACCACTTGTTTTTCCCCTTCCCCTCCACAAATTATACCAACATCAAATACAGTGAAAGCAGGGGTTATACTGTGGGGGAGGGACATACAAAGCAACAAAGAAATAATCTTATAATTGCGTTAGAAACAAATGCATGAAAGAAAAAAAAACATTTAAAATACATATCTTAGGGTTCATTTTCCTAACATCACCTTATCTGACCTTTTCTGTTTGACTCATACATATACTAGATATTGCAAATAAGGGAAACCATGGGAGCTATGTTTCTTTGGGCTTGGCTTACTTCACTTAATATAATTTTCGCAGACCTATCCTGACAAACGGAACTATTTTTAGAAGGAAAGATTTAGAATTTCTCAATAGGTAGACATTTTACTGAAAGAAAGAGGCTATTGGACTCAACCATTATATAGAGGTGTTCTAATACCCAATACTGAGCCCCTTTAATGGGCCTGCCTTGTAGAGAAATAAGTGAACATGATCTGGACCCTAGTGTTCTCAAGTACTATGTAGCTGTTTGAACATTAATACTTGTCCTGGCAGAGTGATTAAGTTCAATCTGTGTTCTATTCTAACAAGTCACTTGAGAGGATGTTTAAAAAGTCAACATTTTATATTAACATCTGGCACAAAGCTCAGAAAGATTGAGTTCAAGGTTCTAATTTAGATTAGGATTTGAAGGCAGGAATTGAATAAGTATGAACTTAAGACCTTAGCTTAAATAAAATCTACTGTAAAAGGTCATAGGAAAAACATTGCCCATCAAAAGCCCCCTAAGCATTGGCATTAAAGGGACATTTGTTACCTACTTCAGTGAATTCTAGACATGGGTATTTATGAAAGCATTTTATGGCCTACAATGAAATTAAGTCAGGGTACTTAGGTTTTCCTCACAAACCAAAATATATTTAAATGTTTCTTCTGAATTTTTGTGCTGTCTATTTATTACTCAGTGAAAACCTTTGACTTATGAAAAAAAAAGTTGATACAAGATTTTCACATTTTTATTTC